CTCCAACTCCAACCCCTCTGTCTTGTGTCCCTGAATATTTGCCTATGTTGGACATTTCATCAGTATGGAATTATGTAATCTTCCGGTGTTTTGTGAATGGATGTTTTCACTTATATTTGTTTTCAAGGTTTGTCCATGTAGTACTTTATTTCTTTTTATTGCTGAACAATATTTCATTATATATTTGATTATTCACTTGTCACTTGATGGATATTTGGATTGTTTCCCCTTTGGCGCTATTGTGAATAGTAAAATTTGTATGCAAGTTGTTTGTTTAAGAGGTCTGATGTAGCCCATGTTGCTTTGGAATTTGCTATGTATCCTCCTGCCTTGGCCTTTGAGTACTACAGGCATGTGCCACATGGCTCACTACAACAAGAACTCTGATGTCAGTTTTACCAGTCCAGAATCAGGGTGCCACAAGGTATACTCCCTCTGTTTTGAGGGGGACATATGTTTCATTTCTTTTAGGTATATGCCGAGAACTAGTTATTAGGCCATGTGATAGTTTATATATTTATCTCTGGGGAACTACGTGACTTTTCCAAAGGTCTGTACCAGTTTACATTCCCACAAGCAATAATGGTCTTCCACTTTTCCCAGTCCTTGCCAACACTTGCTATAATCTGCCTTCTTTTTTCTTTTTTTTTCTTTTTTATGTTTTATTTATTTTTATATTACGTGTATGAGTGTATTGCCTGCGTGTATGTGAGTGCACCCGTGTCATGCGATACCGTGGCGATCAGAAGAGGGCTTTGGAGTCTCCTGGAACTGGAGTTAAGGATGGTTCATAGCTGCCATGTGGGTTGCTGAGAATCAAACCCGGGTCCTCTGCAAGAGCAGTCAGTGCCCTTAACCACTGAGCCATCTTTCCAGCCCATAATCTTCCTTCTTAATTATAGCCACCATAATATGGATGAAATGGTATCATCATGATTTTAATTTGCATTTCTCTAATCACTAATGATGTTGAACAACTTTTCATGTGTTTACGGGCCATTTGTATAAAGAATTTTTTTAGGCCGAGTCTCACTTTGTAACCTTTACCACCTAGAACTTGCTATGTAGACCAGGCTGGGTTTGAACTCATAGAGAGCCACCTGTCTCTGCCTCCAGAGTACTGGATTTAAAGGCATGCACCAACACACCCAGCTCCATTCAATAGGTTTTTATATATTCTGGATGCAAGTCTGTTAATAGATACCTGATTGGCAAGTGTTTTCTCCTGTTCTGGGGGTGTCTTTTCACTTGTTTCGTGATATCACTTGAAGCACAAAAGTTTTTAATTTTGATGGAGTCCAGTCATCTATTTTTTATCTCTGAGTGCTCATGCTTTAAATGTTGTATCTAAGAGAATGTTGCCTAATATAAATTCACAAAAATTTACATTATGCCATGTTAGAGCTCTTACCTTTAGTATTTGATTCATCTTGAGTGAAATCTTCTTTACATGTGATATAGAGGGCCACCTTGACTCCTTTGCATATGAATGTCCAGTTGTCCCAGTACCATTTATTGAAGACTGTTCTTTCCCCATCAAATTATGTTGTCACCTTTGAAAGCCAAAAGACCACAAATGTACAAGTTTACCTCTGGGCTCTGAATTCTGTTCCGTTGATCTAATGCCTGTCCTCATGCCAGAACCACACCATCTGGATTACTATACCTTTGCAGTAAGTTTTGAAAATGACAAGTGTACATCCTCCAGTTTTGTTCTCTACAAGGTTATTGCATTATCTTGGGTGCCTTACATTTGCATATGAATTTTAGTATCAACTTGTCAATTTCCGCCAAAGAATCTAGCTAGAATCTTGACAGGGATTATGATGAATAGATTGTGAGAATTATTTCCATGTTAACAACATTAAGCTTTCCAATCTACGAAAGTATACTACCTAAGTCTTCTTTAATTTCTTTCAATAATATGTTGTAGTTTTCATGGTATAAGCTTTGTATTATGTGTACGTTTAGCATGTTAAATTTCTTACTAATTTTTAAATTATTTTTCACATCTTATTTACTATGGCTGCTTTAGCAAATTACCATAAACTTGGAGGCTGAAAATAATAGAAACTGATCGTGTCATCATTCTGGGGGCCAGAAATAGGAAATCAGTTTCACTATCCTGGAATCAGGGTACCACAAAGCACACTCCTTGTGGAGGATGTCGGGGAGAATTTGTTCCTTGACTCCACCAACATAGTGGCTGTCAGCATTCCTTGACTTGTGGCCACATTAATCCACTCTCTGCTCTTTAGTCATACATCCCCCTCATCTATGTTGTCAAACCTTCTCTGCCTCTGCTTAATGAGACATTTGGGATTCAGTTTTTGGGCTCACCTGGGTAATCCAGAAAAGCTTCCTATTTTGATTAAATTATAAAGATGTTATTTAGAGGGTAATATTCACAGGCTTTGGGGGCAAGGACTTGGTATCTTTGAACAGCCATTATTAAGCCTGCTGAAGATCCTGTTGTAAATGGAATTGTGGGTTTTTGTTGTTTTGTTTTTTTGTCTTTTTGAGACAGGGTTTCCCTGTAGCCCCAGCTGGCCTGGAAATTGCTATGTAGACCAGGGTGGCCTCAATCTCACAGAAATCCGCCTGCCTCTGCCTCCCAAAATGCTGGGATTAAAGGCATGCACCACCATGCCCAGCAGAATTGTATTCTGAATTTCATTTTTTGATTACTCATTGCTAGTGTGTAGAAATACAACTGAACTATAAGCTAACTGTACCTCTTTTCTTTATATAAACCTCCTGGCAAAATGGCTCAGCAGGTGAAGGTGCTCGCCACTAAACCTGAAGACCTGAATTCCATCCTCAGGTCCACATGGTGGAAGGAGAGAACTGACTCCCCCAAGTTATCCTCTAGTTTCTGCTCACATGCAGATC